AATGTTTGGTTGTATAAATCTTGCATGTTACAGCATGTGAGCAGTTGATTTGGCAGTGAGTTTGCTAAGTAAAGATAATTTGGCAAGTCCTACCAATGACCAATGCAATGTTGTAGGAAATGAAAAGCTGCAATAGCTCTATAGTGAGTGATGGCATACCAGTAATTGATAGCTAAGTTTCTATGCTGAATCGGGTCAGGATAAGACTGAACTTCATGCCACCAAAAAGCTGGCATGAACAGAACGTCACCAGGCCTTAGGACACACTGGAGTCTCTTTGCTTTCCTAAACAATGGGAACCTCTTGTAGTCAGGATCAAGAATATCCACTGGAGACATCACCATTGAGGTACTCTGAAGGAGGTTCTTACGAAAAACCTTACGTCTCTTCTTATCATAGCCAAGCAGAGCCTCTGGTATGTGAGCTTCATACAAGTTCCTATTATCGTAAGGTTCAAACAGCGTCAGATGCTTCTCACCAGATAACTAAAAAGAGACTTTTAATCAACTCATTACATTACAATACAATACACTGCATTACCTGACACAGTAAATTATCATATGGATCAAAATGAAGCTTCCCAAGTGTATCTCCGTCACTTAGCCAAATATTAAGATGCTTCCTTTCCAAGAGATCCTCAACAAACGAGAGAGTCTCTATATCACTCTCTAATGCAGGTAGATATGATGGAATGGATGAGTACTCGAGATAGCTGGATGCTCCACTCTTGTTTCGACCCAGTGATACTAGATCAAGGAAATCACCAAAAGGCATTTCATCAGTGGCAGGTCTTACGACTACCAGCTCAGGGAAAGAGAGCTGGGATCTTACCCGCTCTGGTATCCAGCTATCAGAGTACCCAGGCCAAAGTGAGGCTGCTTCAACACCTTCAAAAACCCCATCTTGCGTAATCTTCACATGTATCTCTTTGAGGCCGTACTTCTCACGTAAATACTCCATACTCCATTTCTTCATTGCTGGCCACTTATTGATCGCGTCTCTGATAACCACAGGACGTGAAACCGATAGGAAAGACCAGAAAAACTCAGACTTTGTTAAAGAGGAGTCCACAATAGAGCAAGACTCTTCATTCTCTGATATCCTGTACTGTCCAGCTAGCAGTGACTCTCTGAGGATCCCTCCAGACTCTAATCCACCGCCTGCCTTCCTGTAAGAGTGACAGTGATAATTTAAAAACATGATCAATTGGTCAGCGACCAGTGGACCAGTGTACGGCTCAGCTGTGGGTCTGTGGACTACACTGAGGAGACAGGAGCGGTCCAATGGCTGGCACTTGTAGAAAGCTACTTCTGCAAATTTCCCGCCATTTCCAGGTTTGTTCCAGGTAATGTCATCACGTGATCCAGCAGCAATGGTAACAGTCTTTTCTTCTTTATACACACTTGCTATTTCCTCCAGGAGTGAGGTTAGGGACGGACTGGTATCAGACAGACCGAGTAATATGCAACCAGTAGTTGATAATTGTTCTATCTCAGTTTTATTGAGGACTCTGAGACTCCTGGCTTCAATAAAACAACAAAATATCACAAGAAAATGAAGCAGATTCACAGCCATCATTGCATGCATTATGAACCTCAGCCACGCCTCCAGAGCATAACAAGTCACGCCCATAACAAAAATGTCCTCAAAAGAAAAGGAAGAAAGCCAAGATTTTGCTTGGAGATGGCGTCTAGAAGAGAGGCAGGTACCAGCAGTGCTGTCAGAGGACAGGCTCTCTGTGGTGTTTCACCCCAGACAAAGTAATGGCTGCCTTGCTATAAAAGGAGACTGTCCATTACTGAAGCACATGGAGCATTGGTTTGAGGTGGAACTGTCTCCTCCATTGCACGGTCAAGCAAGAATGATAGGGCTAGGAGACAAGTACACCAGACTACAGAGCAACTCTAAGGACTTCTCTCCTCTCATTGGGCGGGACTGCTCCAGCTGGGGTCTCAACTACAATGGGAAGACACTCCATGATGGGGAGACGAGGGACTATGCTGAAGCGCCTGAGCGATCTGCTCCACTCAAAATGGGACTCTATTACGACTCGTATTACGGGAACATTGCTTTCATGTTAAATGAGAAGAATTGTGGTATTGCTTTCCAGAACATAGCAGTGAATCTTGATCTCTATCCGTTGATTTGTGCTACACCAAGAGGATGCCAAATGAAACTAACCTACAGTTATTCATCCGTGATCTCACTTAAAGCTTTATGTAGAGGCTCTATCAGACTCTGCGTTCAAGATGAAGAGCTAATTGAGAAGCTCCCTGTCCCACCACACCTCAAGGCCTACCTGTTATTCAAAGAATATCAAATGCCCAAGTCTTACTATCACAATTACTATTAGAAAAACAGACAATATGTGTACCCTTTTTTTTTGATGTCATTTTACTTGTACATCAGCCCATTCTTACTCCATCATACTCATTATTATTGTTAGTATTGTTTTTCATGTAACCCACTGATTACAAACATCATCATAACATCCAGTTATCCACTTCAGCCTCAAGTTGTTTGTATGCTGGAGACAATAAGATAGTTTCAAATGACCAGGAGCCCCAGAAACCCTCTGGAAGAGACAGCGAAGGGTCTCTCTGTCTGGGTAGCTGGTGAGGTAGGACTCTGCAATTTTCAAGGAACTGATTAAGATCAAACTGTCTGATTATCTCTGGCAGTTTCTCAGTAGCAGCAGTAGCTGAGGTATCATTTTTATGAGTATAGTCAAGAGGACTGGAGTAGCCCATTGGATCAGTTTGTGAGCTGGTACTGCTGACTTGCATCTTCTGTTTATATAGAGAAACTGATTTAAGAGAATATATTATTATATTAATGAAACTTACTTTGTCTCAGACTATAGCTCTCACAAACAGAGCTAAGTGATTGATTCCTGCAATAGACCTGCATATAAAGTACAACACAAGATGTGTATACTATACAACTGAAAGACTCACTGTCTTGTAAGCTGCCATCTTCTTGACTCTCTTTTGATGCCCCAGGACAGACCAGCAAGCATTCTGCCATGACTGAGGAGAAGGATACCTGCCACCATTGCTAGAATCAACAAGCTGACCATCTGAAGTAATAGAGGCTTCAAAAGTACATCCCTAAACAATACTACATTGAAATGTACATCATATTATAATGGATAGAAACCATGCAGTAATGAATATATCTGGTAGTCCAATGCCTTAGCTTGCATGACGTACTAGCTCTTACCATCTTACCATTAGGTTACAAGTGAGTTTGTCTCTTATTGTTAGAAACCCTTGTCTTATCAGTGCATCCAATGGAACTGGTTGAGACAGACTAGCTTCACTATTACTAGAGAAGGAGCTGCTCCCTTCAGATTGGGACAGTGATGCTGCTCCTGGTACTGATTGTGGCTTGAGTCTCACTCCAGCTCTTGCTGTGGAGACGAGGACAGGATTAGCAGCTACAGATTCTACAACAGGATTAGTTGTTTCCATAGCAACACCAGTGTCCTCAATTGGAGGATTATTTGTTTCCATAGCAACAGCAGAATCGGTATTTGATTTGACTTGTTTTAGCTGATCCGATAGAGTGGTTTGTTTCTTAAAGCAATACAACAGTGTCTTCTGTCTACTTGTCAAACTGATTAGTTTCTTCTTTATGTCACCTCTGTTAGCAGCACTTGAAGTGTTGCAGAATGATGCTAGTTCCTTTCTTTCTTTCTGATTGCTGACACTCACTTTCTTTAGTGAACCTTCTATATCCCTCAGTGTCTTCTCAAGCACTGGAACTGGAAAGAAGAGACTATGATGATAGACCATGGCCAGTACATGTACATTGACCACACACGTGTGGTATAATGTCTATTACATGTTCTTATGATGTGTAGAAAGACTGAGCTGAGTCTGATCAAATTTGAATTTTTAAAATTGCTCCAAAATCAGGCCAAAGTCCCTGTATTATAGTACAGGGACTTTGGCCAAATTTTGCCAAAAATGAAAAGTAGAGAATTCTCAATTTTTATGATATTTTCTGATGCATATACATGTACCGGTACTTATGTTGCATAGAAAGTTTGAACTGATTCCGATCAAGATTAGATTTTTTACAGTTACTCAAAAATTGGGCCAAAGTCCCTGTACTATAGTACAGGGACTTTGGCCAAATTTCGCCAAAAATGAAAAGTAGAGAATTCTCAATTTTTATGATATTTTCTGATGCGTATACATGTACTTATGTTGCATAGAAAGTTTGAACTGATTCCGATCAAGATTAGATTTTTTATGATTTTTTAAAGTTACTTAAAAATCGGGTCAAAGTCCCTGTACTATAGTACAGGGACTTTGGCCAAATTTCGCCAAAAATGAAAAGTAGATAATTCTCAATTTTTATGATATTTTCTGATGCGTATACATGTACTTATGTTGCATAGAAAGTTTGAACTGATTCCGATCAAGATTAGATTTTTTATGATTTTTTAAAGTTACTTAAAAATCGGATCAAAGTCCCTGTACTATAGTACAGGGACTTTGGCCAAATTTCGCCAAAAATGAAAAGTAGAAAATTTTTCATTTTTGTAATGTTTTCTGATGCGTATACATGTTCTCATGCTGCATAGAAAGTTTGAACTGATTCCGATCAAAATTAGATCCTTCATTAATTTTTACAGTTGCTTCGAAATTTGGCCAAAGTCCCTATACAGTATAGACCCTATAGGGCGCTAACTTCTAGAAGCAATTATAGATACCGTATATGAGACACTATTCGTAATCTTCCGTATCCTATCCGCATTCTTTAATGAAAAAATTTCGAAATTCTCCTGCTGGACGGCAAAACCAGGCAAAACCAATGGATAGGAGGCCAAAAGCAGCCTTTATGGACAAGTGGCTTCAAGTGCAATGAAGCTTTTTCTCAGGAGACATTCTGGGCTCTATAGAGGATATGCGTGCTAAGTATATTCATTGCAAAATAAATGTATTCATTGCATACCGTAATAACTTTCAAGAAAAAAAATTAGTTCGTTGGACGTCAACTTTCCATTGGCAGCAATGGAGAAATGATAGAAAAAGGCTTGGTACCAGAAAACCGCTCTGCATTTCTTGATAGCAATCTTTCAGGTGACTACTAGACCCCATTAGATCCTCATGATGCTTTCTAAGCTTCCGAAAAAGGCCTCAAGAAGGTAGCAAGGCAAGAAAATGTGTTTTCCCCCATTAAACTCTTAATAAACTTGACGTCCAACATGGCGGCCAATTTACTGTGTGGGTGGATATACGGTACTAAAAAAACTATGAATATACTTAGCACGCATATCCTCTATTCTTCACTGTTACTGGCATTTATTGCCACTCAAACAAGCTCTGGAAGCCACGAAGGCCTCTTGTTCCTTGTTTCCCCATGTAGCTACACGGTATCTTGCCGTCCAAATCATGAGTGTGGGTGGATACCGTAATGCAATAATTACTTGCAGAACTTAGCGCCCTATAGGGTCTATACAGGGACTTTGGCCAAATTTCACCAAAAATGAAAAGAAGAGAATTTTCCATTTACCTGATATTAGCTGATCTGTTTGAAAAAATTGTCTCTCAATATTCTCTTGTTCTTTCTGTATCCAGGCTAATAGTGAACTATCAGCACCTTCTTCATGAAGGACATTATCGTTGCCATGACAACCACAATTCTGCTCTTCTTCCAGCTGCTCCTGAGGAGGGAGAGGCAGTGGCTGGTGATGGTAGGCCTCCTCCTCATCCTCCTCTTGATAAAAGAGACTTCTGCCCTGAGAGAGGAGAGAAGGAGAGCAAGAGCCATCAAGAATCATCGTCTCATCACTGTCCTGAGACATCATGGGAGCACGTGGGCTATTAATGAGGGGCGAGGTTAAAAATAAACCACGCCCTTATTTTATTAGCCACGCCTATAAAGAAAAAGGTCTGAAAAATGGGAGCATTCTTTGCCAGATTAAGAGGAGGAGGAGGTGGTTCTGAGCCTCCAGCTGGGCCCAGTCGTGTTAGTGAACAAGACAGAGCTATCTTGGTAAGAGAAAGACCAGCATTGAATAATATTTATCATTATTTTTAACCCAACAGCAACTTAAAAGGCAAAGAGATGAATTGAACAAGTATCAAAAGAGGGTGAGTGTGTGTTTGTGTACCCAATAGTGTATTGTTTCTTTAGATAAACACTCAAATAGAGAGAGAGAAAGGAGTAGCAAAGAAACTAATACAAGATGGAAAGAAAGAGTAATGGCTCCTTTTACCATTTATCTTTGTAACACTTCTCTTTCTCTCCAGTCGTGCCAAACTATTATTGAAGAAGAAACGTTATTTGGAAGGACTTTTAGACAAGACCGACACTCAGATTGATAACCTGATGCAGATGGTTGAAACCCTGGAATACACTCAAATTGAAATGAAAGTCGTTGAAGGATTGAAACAAGGGAATGAGTGCCTACAGGAAATGCACAAGGTAAGTCATGTGACCATCCATCATGTGACCATCCATCATGTGACCATCCATCATGTGACTGATTGTCTCTCCTCCTGTAGATCATGTCACTGGAAGATGTTGAAAAGATTATGGACGAGACACAAGACGCTATAGCGTACCAACAGGTGGGTGGAGAAATGGGTGGGGCAGTTAGAGTGTGGTATTTTTGTTTAGGAAATTGACGAATTGTTGGGTCAGAATCTCACGGGAGAAGATGAGGAAGCCATTGCGGCTGAACTGGAGAATATTTTGACGGTATAACTCGTCAAACCTGTTTTATTATTAAATCCTTTTGTAAAGGCCGACATTCCTGAAGTACCTGTCACTGCTGAAATACCAGAAGTACCAACACATGAACCAGGAGCACTCGAAGAAGGTATTGCTATTAGTAGCAGCTGCATTGATTTATTGTGACCTCAAAACAATTTTATAATTTTGTTTCTAGAAGAGACGGAGAAAGAAAAGAAGAAGGAACAAGCGCTTGAAGTTGCTTAGGAATTGAGCAGGAGCTGCCATTATTTATAGCAGTTATTAATAATTTATTAACTCTATAGCAGTATTACCATAATGTGTGTGCTTGATTACATGTTTATCTGAATTGCTTTATCATCACTATACAACAATAGCCTTTTATAATGGGGGCACCTTTATAATGAGGACATTTTGTAATGTCCCAATTGGTACAAGCCTATACGAAAGTACCTCTGAAATGAGGACACCTCTGTATTAATGAGTGTCCTTAATTGCAAGTTACTAAAATAATATTTTATAATAATATTAATAATGGTACAAAAAGTAGATCACTTGTAATAAATCAGCACATTAAATTTGATTGTACGTTGCACAAACAAACAAACAAGCAATGGATATAAATAGAACTAAATTGATTCCTTGATGCCTAGGGATGATTCTGATCGACTTGTTGCGTTATGACAGATTCAGGCAATTCAAGGTCGTGTTCTAGCAGATCTTCATCCGGTAAATACTGCCTCAAGACAGTGGGCGGAGGAGTTAATCTTCTAGTGATCTTAGGACTAGCAGAATATTCTTTATGATCACCATTGCCTTCTTTGTCATCTTGATCATCTTCATTAATGTTGATGCTGTCGGTCAGAGCCATCAGTTCAGAATCTACTTCACTTTCCTCAATCTCTCTTTCCAGAGGAGGCAGTATTGTGACTGGTGAATCAGTCACAGTTTCACCAAAAGACAGAGTTATTGTGTCAGTTTTGTGAACATAACGAACGTGAGGTGACGGGGTTCGATTCTCCTCCTCTCGTCCAGTTTTTGCTCCTTTTGTTTTGCTGCTGTCCAACTTCTCAAGCTCATAGTGACCAACTGCAGCTCCATCAGTGGCATCAGATGTCAAACTTGAAGTGTTGAGGGTCTGGTTAGCAAGAGAGTGTTGATGAGTGCTTGGACTTGCTGAAGGTAAGAGAGGACCAGGAGAAGACGTGGTGTCATTAAATGGCAGCGTCCCAACTTTAGGCAATGGACTAGTGAGACTGTCTCCTCTCTTCCGATGAGGAGAAGAAGGTGGTGGCTCACCGAGAAGAGAAGCAATGATGACCATCTTACTGTGTCTGAGAGTATCCTTACGTCTCTGTAAGCTTTGTCTTGTTGCAAGGCAGCGAATGTGATCATCAAAGAGAAATCGAGCAGTGAGTGCTGGACGACGCTTAACTTGAGATTTGCTTCGATGATGGGCAACGATGTAGAGAGCACAGTTATCAGCTGGGTCAGTGGAAATATCAACATCCTATGGAGAGACAAAGAACAAGAGAATAAATCAAATACATACTGTATCCCCAAGTAATGATGCTGTTTCTCAAGTGTATGTTCACCTGGAGGAATGCAATGAATTTCACTATGCCATATCCCAGTTGGTTCTTGTCTGGCTCTAATAGCATGAACTCAGACTCTGTTACTAACATGAACCTGTCTGTTACACTATAATTTAATAATAATAATAATTTAATAAATAATAATAATATAATAACAATAATAAATAATAATAAATTATTACTTTTCTCCAATTATAACTTTGCAAGCGCACAAATCACAGCTACCTAATAAAAATAAATAAATAAAATAAATAAATAAAAAACTAAAATAATGTTAATGACAGGTTCCCATTACTTTGGCTGGTAGGTACCAGGTCTTCAGTGGTGACACTAGCAATGCGTGGGGTGAGGGGGAGGAGCATCTCCTCGGAACCTTCCAACTCTAAAGTGAAGTCCCTCAAGGCAAAGAAAACCCTCATCGCCTAACAAACGGAACAAAAGATCAAAATATAAAGAAAGAAATGTAATAGAAACAAGGAATTCTCTACTTTTCATTTTTGGCAAAATTTGGCCAAAACCCCTGTACTATAGTACAGGGACTTTGGCCCGATTTTGGAGCAACTTAAAAAATTTGTAAAAAATCCAATTTCAATCGGAATCAGCTCAAACTTTCTACGCAACATAAGTACATGTATATGCATCAGAAAATGTAATAAAAATGGAGAATTCTCTACTTTTCATTTTTGGTGAAATTTGGCCAAAATCCCTGTACTATAGTACAGGGACTTTGGCCCGATTTTGGAGCAACTTTAAAAATTTGTAAAAAATCCAATTTCAATCGGAATCAGCTCAAACTTTCTACGCAACATAAGTACATGTATATGCATCAGAAAATGTAATAAAAATGGAGAATTCTCTACTTTTCATTTTTGGTGAAATTTGGCCAAAATCCCTGTACTATAGTACAGGGACTTTGGCCCGATTTTGGAGCAACTTTAAAAATTTGTAAAAAATCCAATTTCAATCGGAATCAGCTCAAACTTTCTACACAACATAAGTACATGTATATGCATCAGAAAATATCATAAAAATAGAGAATTCTCTACTTTTCATTTTTGGCAAAATTTAACCAAAATCCCTGTACTATAGTACAGGGACTTTGGCCCGATTTTTAAGTAACTTAAAAAATCATAAAAATC